ATACTTTGATACTTATCGGGATCTATAAACAGTCGACTCGTCGAACTCTTTCGTTCAGTAAGAGACTCCTCGTGCATTAGGACGGACGCGTGCTCTGTTAATTCCGCGACTTATACGTATATATATTATAGATACCTACGACATAAATATATACTACATAGATACATATATATATATATATATATATATATATATATATATTTATATACATTCGTATGATAAATGATATTTGAAGAGGTCAAGTATGTACAAAAAAGTTTTTTGTATTTGAAAATGTAAGGATCTATATAGTGAAAGAGAGAAAGAGACAGAAAGAGAGATAGAGAAAGGAAGAGAGAGAGAGAGAGAAAGAGATTATTCCTGGCTTACACGAAGAGGAACGATAGAGAGAAGAGATAAGCTCCTCTTTTTCAAGAGAGAAAGAAAGAGAGAGAGAGAAAGAGAGAGAGAGAGAGAGAGAAAGAGAGAAATCGCATTTCGTTGATAAAATGTCGATCTATTGTATTTTACGTTCAACAACGTCTCTTTGAACGGTGAGTAATTTTTACGTTTATTCCTTTATATATATATATATATATATATATATGTATAAGTATGTATGTATGTATAAATACGTATTAGATATATTATATCATATCGTTTAATCTCCAACGTCTCTTTGTAATTATTATCGTATTTTTTCGATCACAATATTATCGACAGATGCGATTTATAATCTTGAGATCATTTAATCATAAACTAAGAGACGATATAGAACCAAATATTGATATGTTATTTATGACAAACGAAAGATGGACTGCGTACAATAAATATTGAAAGTCATAATTTATGAATTTAACGAACATGTCATAATTATTGATGATTATCAATCGACGTTTCCTGTTTTTTTTCTTTTTCTTTTTATTTCTTCTTCTTATTCTTCTTCCGTTTCTTCTTTATATTTCTCATTGAACAAATTTGCATCTAATTATAATTCGATTCCAACGTCGTGACGATGTATTTAATATCTTTGACTGCTACGAAAATGTAAATGAAGAATTGATCTTTTTCAATTAAAAAGTTGTAAAATGTCGTGACGTGACGTGACGTGACGTGACGTGACGTGACTTGACGCGACGCATCAAGATTTGGAATGCTAATCCTAAGAAAATTGTTTGTCGAATCGCTGGTCTTACGTTTCTAATGTATATTCATGAAATTCGTGCCTGATAAAAAAGCTTAAATGCCGATGGACAAGCAACATTCGACAAATTTTCTATATCGTTAATTATTATATTAAATTGATCAATTGAATACAAATAACATTGGTAATTTTCAGAATTAAAAAAAATGCTTGATAAATTATATCTAAATAAATAAATACACCCTATTGTTTATTTTCTTTTTTTTTTTTTTATTGAAATAGAGTTTGATATTTCATATCTGAATAAACAACGTTATAGTATTTTTTTTCTTTTTTGTTTTGAAAACGTTCGATATTTTATATCAAAAGAAATAAAATTGTAATATTTTTTTTTTTTTTATTTACTTTTCTTTTTTTTTTTCTTTCCAATTTGATAACATTCGACATTTTATATCTAAATAAATAATATTGTAATATCTTTTTTGCTCTTTTTCGAAAATGTTTGATATTTTATATCTAAATAAATAACGCCGTAAGAGAGTAATTTGTTTATTATGAAATATTTTTCTATATTTCCTATCTAAATAAACAATAACGGTATTTTACATGCACGTGCCCACACACGCATGAACACACACACATACACACACACATTATCATCTAATATTTTCATTATCGAATAAGAAGAAAAATATTTTATTGTTTAATTTCTTAAATTATTTATAAAAGTAAAAAAGAAGAAAAAAAAAGAAGAAGAAAAAAATACATAAATAAACTTAATTTGAATTTAGTAAGACTTGGAACGAAATATGCTAATTTTAAATTATCTTCTCACAATCAGACAACAAAATCTTCGAGTTTTTTATTACGTTAATATTACGACAACAAGGTTTGTTCAAACAACTTGTTGATCTGCCTACGCTCGGCGTCAGTCATATATCATCGTTTACAACTTTCGGTGTATGTTACGATATCACATATTAAATTAATGTCTCGTATGTGTCGTACATATGTACATTCATATGGTTCCGATTACTTTAACTCATTCTCACTTTCATTTGAAGGGCGCGACACAGTGGTAATGACTCGAACATGGTCAGACACATTAACTTGATTAAACATTTTCATCTTCGCATTAACAAGCTCGCACAATTGGAAACACGCGATATTCTAAGAGAAAAAAATAAATAAAAAGGAATATTTTTTGCTTTCTTTTTTTCTTTCTTTTTTCTTTTTTTTTTTTTTAAACAAAACAATTACAATTCGTAATTTCTATCGTTTAACGTGATTTGAAAAGAAAAAGAAAAAAAAAAGAAACACCTGATTTATAATTTCGTTCGTCAAGAGATGAAACGACATTGATTAATAAATATTCAATTTCTCCGATTAATTCGTTTGAACGACAACGTATAGAATTAAATATTAAACGCTGAAAACATTTAATTGTCTCAAAATGAATTTTTATTAATACTCAATAATTCTACAATTGAGATGGATAATTTATATAAAAAAAAATATATGTATCGTGTTACTATATAAAAAAAAAAAAAAAAAAAAAAAAAAAATAAACGAAAGGAACAGAAAAAAAAGCGAAAAAATGAGAGAGAGAGAGAGAGAGAGAGAAAAAAAGAAGAACTTATTTCCGAGTACGACTAACAATGAATAATTCAGAAAAATCTGAATCAAAACTGTCGTTCATGGAACGGTGTTTCATTAAAGAGAAGAAGGAATTGTGAGATGCGGGGGAGGGGAATATGGAAAAATTTATCGATCTTTTTTTCTTCGAGCCACCCCTTTCTATTTTTCTTTTTTTTTTTTTTCCTTTGTTTCTCATGTAACACGCAGACGTTTGCACGTACTTTATTACGTGCAAAAAAAGATATTTTAACGAACGACATAGTACGGTATTAATAATAATCGAAGATCCATTTACACGATTCAATCATAGCAAGCAGCCTAACAGGATGGATCGTTTAAACGTTCGCACACATTAAAAGAGAAAATATTTGTCTTTGGATTTGTAATCTGTCCGACAGAACAGTCGTAAAAAATGTCGTCAGAATGACAATTTTTTTTCTTTCCTTTTCTTGTTTCTTCTTTTATTTTATTTTTTTTTCTTTTTTTTTTTTATTTTTCTCTCCTTTTATTTAGACCCACTAAAAATCCATCCTCTTGCCCTCTCCCCCCTCTCCCCTCCCCCTCGGCAATCTTCGTCCCGATTAACGAGAAATCTCCGAGCGAACAAGATATTAATAAAATAATATTAAGTTGAGCTTAAATTTTCTAGATCAGTTCAAAAATTTATTATACTCTTTTACGAGACGATTGGATTTACGTCGAAGATCAATTGGACATTTAAAAGCTAATTTTCTTTTTCTTTATTTTTTTTTTTTTTTGCAGATCATAAAATTACAAGGATAGCACATAAAACTGCATATCTAATTGAAATTACATTGTAGAGTTTACAAAATGAAAAAGAAAAAAAAAAAGAAGAAAAAAAAAATAGTAATTGATTTTTGAAAATCATCGAAGAATTTTTTATCCACCCAATCTTTTTTTTATTTTATTTTTTTATTTCCCATCGTAATGTCATACGAATCAATGATTTCACTCATTTTCTATCATTTGTAATATTATTCGAGAACGTCGATCTGATTAAACGATTGCCATTATTTATTATACTAATTTTTCATTTCTTATGAACGATCTTGTTAAGTGCATAAGAAGATGAAAGGATGAGGGATAAATATTTTCCTTGAACGATACATCTTTTTTTTCTCTCTCTCTGCCTCTCTTTTCTCATCAAATGCCTTTTTTTTTTTTACATAGAAGCTTTTAAAAAGATTAGAATCCATCGCTAAGTATCCCACTTACTTACTTCAACGTTTTCCTTTTCGTTATCATAGTATTAAGAAAAATACCAAGCTTAATATTTCATTCAAACGACGTGAGAGAATCTAATAATTTGTCACAATGGATTTCTAGCAATTGATCAGAACAGATATCTGCATTTGCATATATATATATATATATATATATCTACCTATGTATTCAAACTATGTACATATGTATACGTATTAACGTGTTCATTTATGTGCTTTAGCAACAATGAATTACAATTAGACGAAATACATTGGATTATCTTAAATACGATGAAAATAATTAATTCTTGTAGAAATATCATCGATATGATATTTAATCGCTTTTAATTTTGATTTTTTTTTCTTTTTCTTTTTTTTCCAAGTTGAAAAGAGAGAGAAAAAAAAGAAAAAGCGAAGTGCAGGAAAAAAGAAAATAGAAAGGAAGGAATGAGAAGAGAAAGAATTAAGAAGGAAGGAAAAAGAAAAGAAAAGAAAAGTAAGAGAGAATGTCAAGTTATATTGATCTCTACGATTTATTATTCCACTTACATTAGTTTTAAAAATCGACTTAAAGTATTGGTTTAATGAGTCCCCCGATGAGAGTGATCTCTCCGTGGTGATCAGTTAGAAAAAACTTGCTATTTCTTTGAAAACTACTCTTTATACTTAAATCTTTCGATTCTCATCGATCGATCGATCGATCGATCGATAATAAAGATCATGATCGATCTAAGTTGCCATCTCTCTTACTCTCTTTATATATATATATATATACATACTATATATATTTCTCTCTTTTTATCGTCGACCTTGAACCAACAAGATAATCAATAAGGATCACGTAATATGTTTTCAATAAGCTCTTTTTTTTCCTTATCATACGCTCGATATTCTCTTATCCTGACAAGGATATTTCTAGGGAAGACAGAATAGCAATAAGAATTTCAAACAACACTAACAAACGTCACAAAGATATTATCTATATCTTTCATTATTTGCAATGCTTTTTACTTCATATCCACATGATGCAATAATACTTGTGGTTCGATTAAACTTTCTCATTACAAGAGATGTTCGTAAATAAAACACACAAAGGGTAAAATTAAAAAAGAAAAAAAGGATAAGAAAAACAAACGAAGAAAGGAAAAAACGTTAGAACGTTAGATTTTACAGAAAGCATAACATATATTGATATATTTTGTCGTTCATTGAAGAAATTTCTTTTTATTTATTTTTTTTTAATTTATTTATTTTTTTTTATTTATTTTTTTTTTTTAATCGATCTCATCATTCAAAAGATATACACTCTAATAATTCGAACGAAATATTTCATTCTATAAAATAATTGTGAAATAATTTGATATATCGAAAAAAGAAAAAATAAAGGAAAGAAAAAAAGTAACAGACAAATACCTAATAATTTCTCGCAACATTTTAAAATTGTTTCTATGAAATATAGATTTTCGTTCTATCGAGCTATTGTGATAAAAACAATTTTCTCATTCTTTTCCTTTGACTTTTGATTTTCGTAATTTATAATAACAATAAAAAAATATTTGAAATAAAAAATTGGGCAATTTTTTTGTTAGCTCGTTGGAGATAATAGCCTGTCGTTATATTTTCCCCAGTGATCTCATATCATGATTAGTTCAATTTATTAGCAAGGAAATGTTGATACCAAAATGAAATTAATTGCTTCTTGTTTAGATCGTTATGACATTTTCTTTTTTGTAATTTCCTCGAAATACGTGGGTATACTGTATACATATACATATATGTGTATGTATATATAATATATAAATTATATATATATATATAATATATAATAATAATATATATAATATATAATTTATATATTATATATATATATATATATATATATATATATATATAATATATAAACAGATTGAGCGTTAAATTGTTTTAATGATTATTATATATTTTTAAATCATATTATTTTTATTAGAACAAAACATACACAATATAATATAATATATAATATATAATATATAAGATTACAGTAGGGATTAATTTTCTCTTGAGAAAGATTTATACGTCAAAAATTAGTTGCGTATATTTTTTAACTGTATCTCTCCGCACAATATTTCCTGGAATTCCATAATTTTCCTGGCGTACGTTTATTCAGGAAAACTGCGACATAGTATAACAGAAGGTGTGACCGCAAATTCCTATATTTCTTTCACCTCATTATTATTTGAGTACAGTTAACGAGCAAAAAAGAAAGAGAGAGAGAGAGAGAGAGAATGAGAGAGTAGAAGATAGAAAGAAAGAGAGATTAGAAGATAGAGAGATAGTAAGTGAATTCTCATTTTGATTTCTTTTTCACTACGAAGATATTGGTACAGGCAATAAGTATATTGTGTTAGGATGTTACCGCGCCTTTGTTATTTCTCTCTCTCTCTCACTCTCTCTCTCTCTCGTTCTCTCTCTCGTCTCTCTCTCTCTCTCTCTCTCTCTCTCTCTCTCTCTCTCTCTCTTGGATATTAATTAAGAGATGACACTTTACGAAGCGAATCAATTAGCACATTGATCACCAACGACGACATGACGTTCAAGGACATTTTCTCTTGAAACTTTTTCAAAGTTATCAGTTATTAGTTATCAGTTATCAGTTATCGATTAATTGCCTTTTCTTAAAGTTATATTTATATACACACATAAATATGCACATATGTATATATATATATATATATATATATATATATATATATTCTTTACAATTTGTAAAACATAATATATGATATAGTAGATTTTAAAATTTGTAAAATATGTTTAATCGATGAAACGATATAAGAAAATTGTCGAGAAAGAAATATCATATTCCGCGATTCGCATAAATTGTGTTAACGTGAAAATTGCATGAATCTGTCTTATAATAAGACAAAAGAGATCACGATAGGAAACGAACAACAAAATATTCCTTTGTATTGATCGACTCATTTAGGGTACCACCTAAATGGCAATTAATTCGATCTACTGAGAGAACTACATACGTCATCATTTAATTAACGCCATGTTTGTTTTCTCCTTCTCATCCACCCTCTTTCTCTCTCTCTCTCTCTCTCTCTTTATCTTTCTCTCTCTCTCTCTCTCTCTCTTTATCTTTCTCTCTCTCTCTCTCCCTCTCTCTCTCTCCTCTCTCTCTCTCTCTCTCTCTCTCTCTCTCTCTCTCTCTTTCCATCTCTATCTGTTTTAACGACGACATCCTGCTAAGCATAGTTTACGAGAACGCATTAAATAACTTCCTCGTAACTTAAATGTCGGATACGGAGTTGCACGAATACATTGAAAAATTGGGTGAAACGATAAATGCAAGTTACCGTAGATACGGATCAACGTCCTGTTTCATATCATACCATATATATTTATTTATATACTGGCACGGATTTAAGATATGAAAGAAGAAGAAGAAGAGAAAGAAGAAATAATAAGAAGACCGTAGGATGATCCGTTCTAACATTATTAAAGGGAAAAGGAAAAAAAAAATAAAGTTCCTTGGCCGAAATCAAGTACCTTTTTTCCCTTCTTTTCTTTTTTTCTTTTTTTTTTTTTCCTTTTTTTCTTCAATAACGAGACGATGAGATTGTGCTTTATTGGTCAACAACATTGTACGAGGTCACCCTTATTATCCTTAAACGATCGAAAGAGAAATAGATGACGGAAAGAAAGAAATATAAGGCGAAAAGAAGACGAACGATGATAGTATATACATATACATACGTACATACATACATATATATGTATGTATGTATGCATGCATGTATGTGCCAATTTTCAATATGACAGTTTATTTACGACCTTTCCTAGAACATGAATTTCGATGTCGTCTTTCCCAAGTCATCGTTCGATATCAAGAGAACTGAAAGGACAAACACCTTGGGAAATATTCAAGGTATTTCTCCCTCTCTCTCTCTCTCTCTCTCTCTCTCTCTCTCTCTCTCTCTATTTTCACCGTTACTTTGCAACGCAAACGAAAATATTTTCCCGATAAGGAGTATTAAAGCGCCGTCTATATCGTCGTGTAACGAAAATATAATGGCTAAGATAAAAGTGATTTTTACGAGGGTAAAAGGAAAAATGTGTGGGTACCATGTGATCGGATGAACTTATCTCTCCTTTTCTATCTTTTACGTTCTAATATACTTAATGCGTATCTTATTTTTTATTTTATTTTATTTTTTCTTTTACTTTTTATCTTTTTTTTTTTTATTTTACTGTTCGTTTCTTTTAACGGGATTACACATAATCCCATGGAATACTGACACACGCAAACTGTTCGAGGAAATAAGGAGATTTACGATTAGAGAACTTTTTAGTTTGAATTCTCTTTTTTTTTTTTTAACGAACGTCGTTCAATGAAAATTTGATGAGAAAGAGAGAGACAGAAAGAGAGACAGAGAGGAGGAAAGAGAGAGAGAGAGAGAGAGAGAGAGAGAGAGAGAGAGAGACAGAAACAGAGACAGAGACAGAGACAGAGAGAGAGAGAGAGAGAGAGACAGAAACAGAGACAGAGACAGAGAGAGAGAGAGAGAGAGAGTACTATGACTGCTTCATCCCATACTCGAATAAATCTCACCCTTATCTGGCGGATTTACGACAAGTGGATTCGCGAAGCCACTGATGCACACTTCTGGGCTTTCTTGCACCATATCATCTGAAAGAGGTCACGTATCACATGGATATATATATATATATATCAATGTATGTATACATACTTTCGTAAATTTCTGTTTCCCTAAGTAAAAGTTCGATTTAATGCGTTTCAACTATAAACAGTTTTCGCTGAAATTCAAGTTCGATTCACTTTGTTTAACCCCCATTAATACTTTACATTATTATCGTTACTGTCGATCGTACAATTTCTAATTCCAACGATCACGGTAATCCTTCAATGTTTTTATATAGTTTACACACACACACACACACACATATATATATATATGCACACAGAGATATCAATTTATATGGAAGAAAAAGTAGAATGATCGATCAAAAGTTCTTAAGCGATTTTAAAAATCAATTACTCTTTTTCGAAACTTATCAGATTTTTCTAATTAAGCATGTAATTTTACATTCTCAAACGGAAAGAAAAAAAAATTAATCTGAAAAATCTCGAAACAGAGATTTTTAATATCATCAGAAGAACTTTTTTATATTTCCCCTTTTTATATATAATCGTATATGAATAGAACTCGTTAACTATGAAAATTTATAATCCATGGACAAAGTAAAAATTGATTAATTAATTTTATCGAAATATAATATATGTTATATAACGATTATATCTCCTTCATATTGTTAATAATTAATATGTCGTAATTTCTCACAATTACGTGTATTTAAAGTTTCAGATTTATACGTATATGTACGTATTGGAGATATGAAACATCTTTTATTTTTCCAATATTCCATTCACGTGAACGTTCAAGTATAATAATAAAAGAGAAAAAAAATGATTGAAAAGTTTCATTGATATTGTATATAAATACACATACACACACACACACACACACACACACACACATACACACACATGCATTTATATAGTAAATAGTTACATTAGGATTTAAATAAAAATTGAAAGATTCGTTTAAAGAAAAAGTTTTTCTCAACGTTTATGAATAAACGTTATGAAGAAAGAGTCGATTGATGCTATTTTAAACGCAGTGGATTCAAACAAGTTGAGAAACATTGATATTCGCAATAGTTATGTTTCATGTCTTAAATATAATAAGCTTTCCTCTTTCTCGATTTCGCCACGCTACAATTCACATTCATAACGCGAATTAACGAAGTATCTTTCATCTATATATATATATATATATATGGATTTTTGTATAATTGTACGATATTATACAAAAAAGAAATAAAATACTTTTATAGAATTTGTTTTTTCATCTTTGTTAATATTATCAATCGGGAATGAATCGAAATTATTTAAAATCCAATCGTATCATATAAAATGGAGATTTTCAAAGGAGCTAAAAGAAAAAGAAAAGAGAGGGAGAAAGAGAAAAAGATCTTCATAGGAAAAAAAGGATAATAAAAAAATACAAAAAAAAAACAAAAAAAGAAGAAATGAAAAATACAAATTTTCTATAATCGTTAAATAGTTTCGTTCGATTTCGATATTTTTCCATAAAAAATTTTTAAAAATAATGGAACCACATACATACATATATAGAATCATAGATACATACATACATACATACATATTTATATATATATATATATATATATATATATATATATATACATATACATAATTTTATTAGTGGCCCTAAGATATTTTTATACCAACATTAGAAATTTAATGTTACAAATGTAGTGTAAGCAATATCTCATGGAGCACTCGAGAACTCTCGACGACCACCATGATGAGTGGGTGGATAAGGTTGAAAGGGGTTGGCTTTTTGATGTCTATAATAAGTTATGAATCATGTGTCGTAGGTCAAACGAATTCTACATTCTAATCGAATAAAGTTCAATCCAAGCGACGTTCAATCATTTTGTTAATATAAAAATTAATTTGTGACTTAATCGTGTTCTCTCTCTTTTTTTTTTCTTTTTTTTTTTTTTCATAATGAGCGTAAACATTCATTAATGAAACATTTCTATCGTTTCTATCGTTTTAATGTCAATGATGCAAAAATGCATAAGCATTAAATTAATTTGCAAAATCGATTTTATCCCTTGACGATAATTTTTATAGTCTCACCGATCGAAATAGAATAAGATATATATATATATATATATATATATATATATATATATATATATATATATATATATATATTAATATATATATCTTGATAAATTTTCTAACCGATAACAATAGGGTGGAGATACTAATGTAAGACTAATGAAAAAACAAACATAAGGTGTGTCCAACGGTTGACGTTGGTTTGCCAGATTGAGATTTTTTTTCATCGTGGCATTACAATTCAAGGAAGATATCATCTTTTTTCGCTTTTTTTTTTCTCTTTCGACAAAAAAGGAGTGCCAAATTGAACGATACTCTATATTCACGATATGATCACTGGATCATACTCCCAAGACTAATATCGAAGTTTTAATAGGTTTATTATAAATGTCAAATAACTTAGTACAACCAATCATAACTCTACCTGTGTTTAATCATACATACATATATATATATATATATATATACATATATATGATATATATACAGAATCAATTTTATTATAAGTAAGATAGAATTTATGAAATTTAAAAGTGCTTATCATCGACAAGAACGAAAGACGTTTTGATATTTAAGATCGAATATCGCGTAAATATTATCTTTTTTTAATTTGTAATCATAGTAATTGATTATCGAAAAGATCGGAAATACGATAATATAATTCATAATTAATAATAATAATAATAAGAATAATATATAAGATGGATATTTATTCTTTTACTGAAATAAATAATAAGGTAAGTACTTATATGATATATTTATATACCTAACAAAGCATAAAAAGTTCCGATCTTAATTTTTATACGTTTAATAATGAGTTATTCGATTAAATCGAGACTTCAATTAATTCTTAATCGATTAAAATTATTTCTTCGGATGATATATTTATCACGAAATAATATTTGCATTTTCATTTTCTAAGAAAATTTCCAAACCAATCGATCGTGATACATGTACTATCGTTAAATTAATTGATCGGATACTTTGGAATTTATTAATCATAAAGTCATTAAACGTCTCATTATTCGAACGGTTTGGTTTAGTGTTTAATCGATGAAATGGTATTTCAGAATCAGCAAGAAGAGAATTATCCAAGACCGAGAGAGAGGGAGATAGAGAAAGAGAAAGATAGAGATAGAGATAGAGATAGAGAGAGAGAGAGAGAGAGAGAGAGAGAGAGAGAGAGAGAGAGAGAGAGAAAGAAAAAAGAGAAAGAAGGGATCGTTCTAAACGTTATGGAAGCAGTAGTAAGTGATCGTTCATTGAATTATACGCTTTAATATCTATTAAATGATAAATACTATAGGGATGATTATAATTCTGCTTTTGTAAAATGCTTTGCGCTTTGCGAATTAAATAGAAAAAGATCAAATACATTTGTTTCTTTTTCTTTTTTTTTTTCTTTCTTTGTTGTTATTGTTGTTGTTATTTTTTTTTTTTTTTTTTTTTTTTTACAATACATATTACATCTCGCATTTCAAACATACTCGCAGGGATATTGATAAAATTCTCTCATCGATGTCGCTAATAAAAGATCATGTATGTAATAAAAATAAATACACGAAGAGAAAAAAAGAGATTGAAAGAGAGAGAGAAAGAGAGAGAGAGAGAGAGAGAGAGAATTAGCTTGGATTTATCGAGTAAAAAGAAAAAAAGAAAAAAAAAGGGACGTAAAAAAATGGGGAAAAAAAATAAAATAGTAACCCTTTTGCTCGAGGCAAGGTTCACATTTCAACCAAAAAAGAAACAAACTTTCTCGACCCTTTTGCCTTTACTATCACAATATTCTATTTGCTTCTAGATGAGATGAAGCATCGAACGAGATATCGGAGTTATCAAACGATAACAAGAAAGATCGAACAATTTGAGGAAAAACGGAAGGGAAGCAGAAAAAGAAATAAAATTGGAAAAAAATGTTAAAGGAAAAAAAAAGAAAAAAAGAAAAAAGAAAAAAAAGAAAAAAAAAAGAAATAGAAAAATAAACCCACTGTACTGTTTCTCTTAGTTATTTTAGTTCGTTGTCGAAACAATTGATGGAATCCTTTGATAACCATTGTTTATTTCTTCGATTAAATATTGCAAATAATGGCGTCAGTCGATAAAATATATATGTACACACACATACATGCACATATTGTTTTCTCTTTCTATCTTTCTGGAACAACAACGACGATGAAGAATCTTTGAAGTATCGCATTTCGTTATAGGATTTAATTAAATTATAAAACTCGTTCTTTGGTTTCCTAGATTTCATTATTATTGTTGTTGTTGTTGTTGTTATTGTTGTTGTTGTTGCTATCGATGCTGTTGTTGTCGATGTTGTTTTCTTCATTCTTTCTTTTTTTTCCTTTAATAAAAAATTAAAAAGCGTGATCGATCGATCTTGCGAAACTTCGCAAATCGATTTAATACGATATACGATATCGTCGGTTTGGTCGTAAAATCGCTCTATGTATTTCGCAAGGGATCAAAATACCGGAAGTATAAAGCCGAGTTTGATTTATAAATGCATTTTCGGAATTTTCCCGTAGAAACCGTCACGCGGAAAACGAAATTAGTTTCATGGCTTCTCAAACATAGCTATGTGTAAATACTAACGCAAAAATACACGCATATGCACATACATACGCATTAAAATCTGTACACGCATCATTCATTTTCAAATTTCATATTTTTGATATCTCAATTTCGGCTTATAGTATTTATCAAACTGAGACATAATATACACATATTTTATACATATATATATATATATATATATATATATATATATATATATATATATATATATACATATATATATACATATATATATACATATATATATATATACTTATATATGTATAAAATTTTATACACACACACACACACACACACACACACACACACACATATATATATATATATATTCTGTAAATCGATGATAAAGTTAAACTCGTCGAAAGTTATACAACATTTGTTCGGTAAGTTTTCATCACGAAAGGGTAGAAAAGAATTCAATTTTCCAAAACCACCGTCATACACGATTTTTATTCGCGGGAACAACAGATGCGCGTTATCGGTTAGATATTTGAGGAATACAAATTTCAAGAAGAAAAGTTTTTCGTTGAAGAAAATATTTCTTTGTTTTTCTTTCTCTCTATCTCTCTCTCTCTCTCTCTCTCTCTCTCTCTCTCTCTCTCTCTCTTTCTCTCTCTTTCTCTTTTTTTCTCTTTCCATCTCTTTGTTTCTTTTTCATCAAAACTTTTATTAACAAAAACATCATTTAATTAATTCTTTCTTTCAATTATTTTTAAATGGTATTATCACTATGATATATATATATATATATATATATATATATATATGTGTGTGTGACTATGAAAAATTGTAGATGTAAAATTGCAATTAATTATCATTATGTATTACATGTGCTTACGCCATATACATACAAAATCCCTTTACATACATAAAATTATTCAAGTTAATTCATATTCGTGACCAACTCTTTCATGGAAATGGATTTACCTTTGAGAATCTTTAACGTCGTTGTTCCACACGATTTACAATTCTTGTGAAAAAGAAAAAAAAATAAATAAATAAAAAGAAATCTCGAACGTGTTTAGCTTCAAAGTACGAGATTAGCTTCAAAGAACGAGATCAGCTTCAATTAATTCAACACTTACCGCGTATATTAATTATTGTTAGGATTTATTACAAAAATCTCAACGAAGAATATAACGTTCCTTCAATCTTTTCATTTAATAAAGATTATTGAGTGATTGATTATATCTAAAAATATAAAAAAAAAATATATATATATATATATATATATATATATATATATATATAAAAAGAAGAAAAAAGAAAAAAAAAAGGAACAAAAATTAACAAAAAAACGTTAGACATATTTTTCTTTTTGTTCTTTCTAATATCTTATAATATTTTATATTTCTTTTTTTTTTCCTTAATATTTTATTACATATTTAATATTTGAGAACGTCATTGCGTAACGGCAATAGGACCAGAAAACAGCGTACGTTATCTGACGAGTTTATTTTAAGTGAAGCGACCTAGAATAATCATGGCTACTTCATAAAATCGTGCCGTGTAAAAGCAGAATAAGGGAATTGAGGGATGCTTTTTTTACGTTTCATCTCTTCATAAAAAGAAAGAAAGAAAGAAAGAAAGAAAGAAAAACAAGGGAAGGGAAAGAGAAAAAGAAAAAGAAAAAGGAAGGAAGAAAGAATAAATAAAGAAAAAAAATAAGCAAAAGAGAAAGAATGAAGAAGAAGAAAAACTTAATAACATGGGGAGGGTACTTTACAAATTCTTTTAACATTCAATAAACCGAACACGTAGGTACACGTTCGTTTCGCTTGAACGCGATGTGCATTTTTGTAACTTTGGAAATGTACACGTTTATCTTATTTACATTTCTATATTTTCTCTTTTTATCACAATTAAATAATATATATATATATATATATATGTATATATTATTCTAATTTTTAACTCTTAAATCCTTTAGAAAATATATAGCAAAATTATATAATTAAATTTAATTAATTGTAATTATTAATATTAATAATATTATGTATATTATTATTATTATAAATATAGGAGGAAATCAACAACGATCCGCGCAATTTACAAGAGAAATGGCGCGAGCAACAAAGAATATTTTGTCAAAATGGAAATATTACGGCGAAAGGTACATACATAGATATATAATATATTTGATCTAATCGATCGTTTTATTAAAGATTACCTTAAAAGTATTCCCCTCGAAAGATACTCGCTTCTACCTTTCAAACCTTTTGTATTATCCTACAGTCAAATCTTCATAATCCTACTTTCAAGTCTTCAATCAACGATTCGTAATGAACTTCCTATGAGTTTAGAACACTTTTAAAAGTTTCATTTAGTAGAACTTTAAAAAGATTAATCGAATAAACTTTGATTCTATATAATTAATTAAATGTTAATCAAAATGATCGTACGTTAATTATTTATTGATCATCTGTTCATCATTCGATAAACTTAGCCTTTAATTTTAGTTCACCTGAATCAAAATTAAAAAATTAAATTAATTCGTTAATCGTAGAACGTAATCGTTGCTTTCATAAACTGTATTCAATCAATTTTTTCATTACAATTAATCTTCGTTAAAAAGCTTTTCCCCTTTTTCATCCCATAAAATTAGAAATTCGCTTTACCGACGTTACATCTATACTATGGACGAATAAATCCGAGCATTTTACGTTTAATAATTTCGAAAAATAATTAAATTCTGAAATCAATTCGAGAACAACGAGATAAAACTTTTCTTAAAAATATATTTTGATACAATGCGCGTTCCCTTTGTATTATAAAATTAATTTTTGTTTTGTTTTGTCCTTTTTTTCTCTCTCTCTCTCGAGAATTGAATAAAATCGATATTCATTTACCTTTATTTCCAGTTAATAAACATTAATTGTAATCGTATAATCATCGTTTGTTCGTTCTAAAGCTTTTCTGTTTGCGTTTAGGATGGTGCCCTGAGATTTGGGATGCAATAATTTGTTGGCCTTCTACTCCATCAGGTGAAATGGCCGTTCATTCTTGTCCTGATTACATCGTAGGATTCGATACTCAGGTGTGAATCGTCTCTAGAAATTTATAATAATAATAATAATAATAATAATAATAATAATAATAATAATAATAATAATAATAATAATAATAATAATAATAATAATAATAATAATAATAATAATAATAATAATAATAATAATAATAATAATAATAATAATAATAATAATAATAATAATAATAATAATAATAATAATAATAATAATAATAATAATAATAACGATAATAATAGTAATAGTAATAATCTATTATCTGACTGTATATAATCGTGATAAAAAAAAAAGAAAGAAAAGAAAAGAAAGAAAAAAAAAAGAAAAAGTGAAAACTGCGAAAGTATCGGAAAAAAATTCAATATAAATCATGCATTAGGGGAATGCAACGAGGCAATGCATGTCTAACGGCGAATGGTACTGGAGTTCCGAGACAAATAGCACTTGGAGCAATTACACGCAATGCTATACGACACAATCAGTTACAGTTGTAATGGACATACCGGGTGTTCACTCGAACAATGTCACTCTTATTAAGGTAAGCGAGCCGTATATGAATTCAAGTGAAAGTATATAAATTAAGAGAGAACTGTGGCTTTATGGTTATTAATATCACTACCGGGTTGATTGATATCATGAAATAGTAATATAATTTTCTCTGTATACTTAAATTACGTCTTACTATTTTAATTTTAATAAAATTAGATATGTGAATCGTTTTCCCTTTACTGTTCTTACAGAAGTATTTCCCCATACTGAAAGCCATTTCAAAAGTGGGATATAGTGTATCCTTATTCACGCTAATTATAGCATTTTGCATTCTTGCAATTATTAAGTAAGTATAATCTTTTAATGAGAATCTAATTGTTTGAAATGATGTTTCAACGAATTCCTTTATTCTTTTTTTCTGTTTTTTTTTTTTAATTTTTTTCTTTTTTGAATTTTTTTGTCCTCACGGAAAAAAATATTTTGGATTTTTACGTAGGAAATTGAGATGCCCAAGAAACATGTTACACATGCATACGTTTGCTTCGTTTATGATGCGAGCATCTATGGCACTATTAAAAGATACTCTGTTCATATTTGGAATCGGTCTTTCATCGGACATCCTTACTAAAGATGGCGAAAATTATTTACTCCACAACGAATCTGAAAGTAATTGGAATTGCAAAATGTTCACCAGTTTCTGGCAATATTTCATATTGGCGAATTATTTCTGGATTCTCATGGAGGGCCTTTATCTTCATAATTTAGTCTTCCTGGCACTGTTTGCCGACGCAAATTCGAGCATAGCCATTTACGTTGGCTTAGGATGGGGTCAGTTTGTTTAACGATGAATCTCTAACTGTTCATCCGAAGAAATGTTACTTTTTCTTCTTCTTCTTTTTTCTTTCTTTCTTTCTTTTTTCCCTTTTTCTTTTTCATTAATAAATATATGCTAACTTTGTGTATTATTCAGGATTACCGATGGTATTTGTAATATCTTGGATTATATCTAGGATTATCTACGAGAATACTTTTTGTTGGACGACTAATCAAAATCCATATTTATTTTTATTGATTCGAATACCGACTATGCTTTCTATACTGGTAAGATGAAATAAATTAAAAAAAAATATATATATATAAATTTAATAAAATATATATATATATATATTCCTTATTTGTATCATCTCAGATTAATTTCGTTCTCTTCGTCAACATCGTACGTGTACTATTGTCTAAGCTAAAGTGCACCGTATCGGAGGAAACTCAAAGATACAAGTAGGTCCTGTTAAAAATAAATTATTTCAAAAGAATAGATTTTAATGTATGAAATAATCTTATTGAAACGATCACAGACGATGGGCAAGAAGTACTTTGGTTCTGGTACCACTATTTGGAGTACATTATACAATTTTCTTAGGTATGTCCTATAGTATGGGGGTCGATGAGACGGTAGAAATAGTTTGGCTTTTTTGCGATCAATTCTTCGCTTCGTTCCAGGTAATATTCTCATAGATCCTAGAAATATCATTATAAACGGATGTATGTATGTATATAATTAATAAAAAATCATCGTTTTCATTAGGGCTTTTTCGTAGCAGTACTCTATTGTTTCATGAACAGAGAAGTTAGAGCCGAGATATCGAGGGCATTAAGAAGCAATAAATGGAGCCACTTTCGATACGACTCAAGGCCCACCATTCCATCGGGTAGTGTATGCAGTTGCAATACCTCGAAATTTGGACGACGTGGTAAAAGACCAAAATGGTTGGCAAAACAATGGCCATGTTTCTATCACGATCGCGAAGCTCATCGTTCAACGCACTCGATGGCGAGTACACAAGGTGTCCTTTTAATCCTACCGGGCTGTCGTGTGAAAAAATCCCACGCAGCCACTCCAAATACGTACCATTTAAACTACTTTTTTTCTTTCTTTTCTCTCTCTCTTTCTCTCTCTCTCTCTCTCTAAATCTTCTCACGTTTATAAATTCTCCTATAGTAAATATTATGTCCGGTCTCATCATTCTTTTTTTTTTTGTTATACGTACATATCTAAATAATAAATATTATTAAACGATATCACTTAGATATTGGAACGCGAGGAGGTAGTTTAGCTAGCAGCAGGGGTTACCTGGATGTCATTGGGAACAGATCCAACGTTCTATCGATGGATCATCATAAGTGCATCATGAGTCATACTACGCCGCTTTGTAGTAAATGTACAAATCAATCATTACTATCGTTTTCCTCGAATGTAAGTATATACATAATAAATAATTTATCGATACTTTTTAATATTACGTCTGATGATTTAATATCGATAAAATATCCAAGTGCAAAATTTCTTGAGTTATCGTACAGTTATCGTTTATTTATTTATTTTTTTTTTCTTTTCTTTTAATTTAATAATAATATTTATATTATATTATCTCTTTAGATGTCCGAAATGTCCATGAATGCGGAAAAGATTCGTGAACGGCACAGATGGAGTGACTCGGAATGCTGTCAGCTTACTTACGAATTGCACAATCTTCAACATCATACGTATCACTGACACTATTATTATGCATTAGACTTTTAAAGAGCACGTTTAACTTTCATTTGATCTCTCTCTCTCTCTCTCTCTCTTTCCCTTTCTCTCTCTCTCTCTCTCTCTCTTTCTCTCTTTCTTACGGAGCACAGTCTCATGTCGTATCTTTACTCGCAATCATGTAACGTTCGAAAATTATTGTTTTATTAGAGAATATGCTTCGTTGGACTATTGTAACGAGAAAATATTTTGTAAAAATGAATACATACATATATCTATATATATATATATATATATATATATATATATATATATATATATATGTGTGTGTATCAATTCAAGACACAATGGTATTTGATCTATACAAATATTTTGAAAAAAAAAAAGAATATATATATATACATATATATATATATATATATATATATTTTTTATTATGCTTGACAGATGTAAAATAATATATTTAGAAAAGAAAATATTAATATTTAAACAACTTATGTCATGGTTCGAATTTATGAACAAATTTATCGAACGTGTGGTATAAAAGTACATGTTCCTAATTTATAACTTAGTGTCGTAAATTTATAACTTCATTGTAATTGATATTTATTCTTATTCAAATTTGTCATATTAATCATGCAATATAAATATATTCGTCCTTATAATTGGACATAAGTATCGCGAATCGATTACTACTGCTGCCAATTATACAGTAAATATCATTTATTATATTAGAAGGAATATAAACCTTTTATCCTGAAAAGAAAATTCATTTCTATGATAAATCTAAATCGATAAAATTAACAAATCGTAAAAGATGATACTTTAATTAGAAAAATATTATTTATATAACGTGCAATCTTTATGTAATTCTAATGTCTTTTGATGACATATTCAAAGAAACAAATTACCCGTTACATAAACCAAGTTAGAGCCAATACCAATACTCCAAACTAATTAAATATTATTTACCAATGGAATTGCCATTTGCTCAAATGATAGGTAAAGAGCTCTCTATACCATAATAATATCTATGTAATTGTCTTTGTTCAATGTAAAAAAAAAAAAAGAAAGAAAAAGAATTATAAGTAAAATTTAAATTTATAAAATTAAATTATGGTGAACGTTATTGTGTCAATGTTGCAGTAAAATTAAGAAAATTATGTACATTTAGTATTTCTGTTTAGTATTCTTTGTGGGTTGCATAACTTGCTTACAGTGCTAGTTAAATTTCCTCATATGTCTATATATGTTGACAAAAATTATTTAACTTATTATATCAACATGCGAATATTTTATACTTATTTATCCTTATTTTTCTTTTTTTTTTGACAATTATAAAGAATGAAACATAAAAAATAATATGAGAATATCGCAAGTTCACTTATGGTTTTACTTGTATAAAAAAAAATTAAAAAAAAAAAAAAATTGTTTATTATTAATTATTATATTAATATCTCAACAGTAACATAAGTAGTAATTATATTACAAAATCAGTTACACGTACAATAATCATTTACAATAGCAAAGAATTATTTTGTACTCTTTACATATTGATCATATTTTGACTTATTAATTATTATGCTATTAACTATATGTTCAGCTTGATGTGTCTGTCCATAGTAATCAACAAATAAACCCTCTGGATCTATTAAGTATATTATGATAGTATGATCAACCTTAAAATAGAAAATATTATTTATGAAATGGATCATTACATAATACATAATATAGTTTGAGAAAATAATTTACTAACAATGTAATCATTGTCCACATCTTTAGGCCCATTACTATAATATACTCTATAAGCTTTACAAACTTTTCCAATTGCCTCAGGAGAACCAGAAAGGCCAATAATTTTAGGTGAAAATTCTTTTATGTATTTTCCTACTATGGCAGGAGTATCTCTTTCAGGATCAACGGATATAAAAAGTGGTTGAACTTTTAACTTATATTCATTCTCTGTAATAAAAAAAAAAAAAAAATTAAAACGAACAAAATAACGTAAAATCTCAAACGTTTTATAAAGCAATGCTATTTACCTAACTGATCTACAACAAGTGTTAATTTTTCAAGTTCATCCGGACAAATGTCTGGGCAATGAGTGAAACCAAAGTAAATTAAAACCCATTGTCCTAAGAAATCATCTGATTTAACAGTTCTCCCTTCGCTATCAAGTAGCTCAAACTTTCCACCGATGGCAGCTTTTCCTAACTGTCGTCTTCTTTCACGTATCTCTATCTTTTCTTTTTCTCCTTTCAAATAATATAAATATAGTAAAAGACCACCTCCAAGAACTGCGGTAACTGTCAAAGATTTCCATGTTATTGGAGATTTTTTTTTAATTTTTCTGTCAACGTTAGACGGTATTTCTCGACGAACAGTTGATACGCTGATTTGCCTAACCTAAAAAAAAATTTATATTATATCAATGAAATAAAATATATTGACAATTATTAAATCTAACGTACCTTACTTAAAATATACTTTGGTGATTTATTTAAACAACTAATAGTTCGCAAAATTAATGTGGACATTTTGTTTAGAATATTAGAAAATATCGATGTATCCCTGAAGATTACATTCGCTTCTTTCAACGTACATGTATAAATTTACAAATATAAGGACATAATACGATTGATCTTTCTTTAATAATAAAAGTAAAATAATTTAATATTATACCGATAATTAAATACTGATATTATATTAAATATTATATTAAAACATCGACTAACATTGAAATTAATTAATTTTTATATAATTAAAACTTCGAAGATTTCAATATATTATTAAGTACATTTAAAGGTACTGTCACAAAATAAAAATATACGAAAGTTTTCTTATGATTATTATTCTACACGTGTTTTTATCATTTACACCATAAATATATTTCGGCACTTATGTGATATTTCACAAGCAAATCAGGATTCGATTTTGGCGCTTGCGCAATAAAACTAATAAACTTTGCTTAGAAAAAAGTTTTCTAATTCGTTAATAACATTTTTTTTTTATTCCTTATATAATTACAATCATTAAACAACAATAAATATACTGCAAAAAGTAATAACGATGTATTTTGTTCAATTAAATATTTCATTTATATTATTTTGTTCTGATTGGTCGCTATTCATAAAATGACATATTTCGATCTCCAAAAAATTGTATTACGGATTAATATTGAGAGTAAGATTAAAGAATTTTTATAAATTTATTTGTTTAATCCAAATAATTAACAAAAAATGATTGAAAAACTCCTGAGATAAATTTGTGTCTTTTTTATTAAAGTAGATTTAGGTGACCAATCAAATGAACGTTCCGTTACGATGGTTTAAAGGCGGCGTATTTAAAACGTTTAACTAACAAAAAGCTTTTTATTCTCTTAACACGATGATATTAAAAAAGAATAAATTATATATCCAAAGACATAAAAATCCTGTTATTCGGTAATAAATAGTCGTAAATAATTAATGATACAGTCCAGATTTTTTCTTAGATCATTGTACGTACATATTTACAAACAAATAATTATCAAACGTAAGGTATACTCACATCTAATAATTAGTGAAGTTCATTAAAGTATATACAGTTTGAAATAGTTCGTCCGCACGGATTAAAATATTGAAATAAACTTAATCGCGGTCGAGATATTTTTTTAAAGTTATTAAATAATGGATTTTGATAGCGCTTATATAGGTAAATATTATTTTGATCTCTTTCTCTGTTTAATGTATAACTATCGTTTCACACACTTTGCACGTAACTAATACACTTTTGACTAGTACGTTTTTATATGATATGTATTAAAAAAGAAAAAGGAAAAAAAAGGAAAAGAAATATATGCTATATATATGTATATATATATATATATATATATATATATATATATATATATATATCAAGCGAATAATTTAAAAATTTGATGACAAAATTAACGAACTATATTATCGTATTTTATTCGTCAAATTTTCATATCTTCAGATCCTTTAATAGACGATTGGTTAGAACAACTTCATGAAGCTATAAAAGAACAAGAAGATATGGTTAGAGCCGATGATGAATTTTATATGCCATTCGTAGGTAAATTAATTAATAAATACAGCAAAAATCAAAAAAGTTCAATAATCTTAAAATTTTTTAAAAAGCAAAAATTATTATTATTATTATTATTATTATTATTATTATTATTATTATTATGATTATTATTATTATTATTATTATTATTATTATTATTATTATTATTACCATAAGGAATTCCAGCATCTGTTATAAGTGCAATTTTCAAAATAACACATCACCTAGAACTAGGAACAGATACTAAATACTTAACAATTCATTTGTACGATAAATTTATGTGTAATTACTTTTGGGAAATATATAAAACAGAAAGTAAAAGTGGAGCAACTGAAGCTTCATGGTCTAAGATATGTAAAACTATTTCTAACAGATCCAAATTATATCTCATATCTTGTCTTCAATTAGCAAGTAAAGTGGATTTACATTCTAAAAGTTTAAGTATATCACAGGTATTAAAATAATTCAAAAGTTAATATTTCATATCTATTCTCACATTATTCTCTATTAAAGGATTATTATTATATATTTTATTATATTTCGCAGTTAATATGTATCTTACGTTGGATCGATAAAAAAAAGGAATATACAAAGAATATAATTATTACTTCTGAATTTAAAGTATTCAAAACATTAGGATTTAAAATGCCTTTCTGTACTCCATTACAATGTATTGAAGTTCTTCTAGCTGCAACAGGTCTTAGACATACATCAAATATATATGAAACTTCTATAAATTTATTGGATTTAACTTATTTACAGGTTTGCCTAATAAATATGTAATGATAAATTTTTTTTTTTTGTACAATGCATGAAATAATTTTATTTTTTACTTTTAGCACGAGCAATTGTATTCACACGTGCAATGTCTAGCACAAGGTCGTATTAGCAAATCTGAAGTTGATAAAAGAAATCTTATGGCTTTGAAAACAAATTCTTTATTTCTCGGAGGATGTATCATTTTATGCGCAACATTTTTTTTATATTTTGATAATAATATAGCAAAAGGAATAGCAACTAAATTAGCAGATTTAGTAGATACAACTTATACTGACATTTGGGATGTAGCAAATATACTTCTTGTATTAGCAATACAGGAATGAATGTATAGTATTAAATAGATATATGTTTCAAGTTATAATTACATATAAAACTTGTCTTAATTTTGAATTTATATATATATATATATATATATATATATATGTATATATATATATATATGTATATATATATATATGTATATATATATATATATATATATATATATATATATATATATATATATATATATGTATACTCTGAATATGTTTCTAAAACATATAACTATCGCCATGTATACATTTGTTTGGCACTTTGGTTAAAAAAAAATAATTGGACATTTTTTTTCCATAATTATTATATCTACAATTTTTTCCTATTTAATTTCTATATAATATTTAAGAAATAATTCAATAAATGGATAAATTCGAATCACAATTCATCGCTTATGCAAAATATAGTAAATCCAAGTCTGGTGGTAAACGTATCACTCTATCACAAAGTGATAAATGGATGAGGCAGGCAGAAATATTTAATGATAAAATCACTCAAGCTGATACTGCACTACATTTTAATGATCTACAGTAAGTTTTTTATTTATTTTGTTTTATCTTTTCTAACAATTTCAAATTATATCACAAATCACTTAGTACATAATAAAATATATTAATATAAATATATATATATATATAAGTATATATGTTTATATAGTCGAGAAGCACTTGATATAGAAGACTATAAGAAATTCATAATTAACTTAGCAAAAGCAAAACATTTGGATCCTCATGTAATTCAAGAAAAAATGATAAAATGTGGTCCTCCCATTGAAGATAGATCGGTGCAACTTAATAACTTCTATATTTTTAAATATATTAAAAAATTTTATCATTATTATATTATATGAGATATGAAATAATTCATCATTATTTTGTAGAGAGTAGAATCGGTTGTTTTGGAAAAGATAGAAGATCCATCTGGATATATCTAATTTATTAAGATAATTTATTAAGATAATTTATTAAGATAAATTATTAAGATGAAAATATGTATAAATAAAAGAAGATATTGTAAAGGAACATACACATTATTGACAAAATAATAAGGTAACAAACTATAAATAATTATATCAATATTATGATTGTTAATCAATTGACAAATTAAAGGAAATATCAAATTTAATAACTTTTTTTTTGTTTTAATTCAATTATTTGATTATTTGCTTTCTACTTATTGCAATATATAAATAATAATTATCATATGTATACATATGTATGTATGATTAAGAAAATACCAACCATACACTAAGATATTATTTGTGGTTCAAACAAAAAAAGTATGCTACGTATTTATGTATATTTTATTTATCTCTCTCTCTCTCTCTCCTTTATTTCACACTCTGTGCTGTGCCTTTTCCATCGTATAACTTTCTTCGAGAGTGCGCGTAATCTTCTACATTCATTCATCGAATTCTTATATATATATATATATATATATATATTATCTGGTGATAGTATACGATACTATCGGAAAACGTATTTTTATTACTACTGCGTTAGTACGCTTCATTCTACTGCATTCTACTATCCGTCTGGTTGACGTGGTCATATAAAGTATGTCGACGACGCCTTCTTACTACCGATCCGTACGTGCAGTCTCACCGATAGTCATATTGCATACATATACTAGTATACATGTAATACTTTTGAGAGTGTACACACGCACATGCGCGCGCACATGAAATACCTTGGGCCTATTCGATTCTATTCAAGATGGAGAGAAAAGAACGTAAGATCTCGGTAAGGTGGTAGTAATAAACAAAAGATTTCAAAGATACATATCTATTGTTAAGATATTAATGTAATATTGAACGATAAAAAAATGGCAAAATCTGTATTGAGCTCGGATACCTTACCAAAAGCAGGTCGAGTTAATGAAGGTATGACAAAAATGTGAAACAACTGTTTGTCTTTTGAAAGTCGATCGTTCGCGATTGACGTTATTCGTTTAACTGTCATTGTTAACACATATTAATCTAGTAATGTCGCAGTATGTCGGGAGTGGTTGGTGCACGAGGATGGAGCATTGGCATATAGATTACAAGATGAAGAAAGTAAGTATATCTTTTAATCTTGTATTTATTTCTTTTATAAATCAAACGAGAGAGGTGTCTCTTTGTATGTAACAAATTGTTCAATTTTCTTTTGTTTTTATTTATTTATTTATTTATTTATTTTTTTTTTCTTTCTACAGTTAAGGAACATTATTCGGGTAATAAGGTGCGTAATGCTCAGGTACGAGAAGATCTTCCAAGGGCCAGGGTAGAACAAGAATTAGAGGCAATAAGATATCAAAATTATATACAACAGCAGTTAGTAAATCCATTGTAATAACATAGATGTATATTGGAATATGATATTGCGGAAATTTTATATATTTAAGTATCTTTTCTTATTTTTAAGGGAAGAAAGAGATGCCGTTGTAGCAAGACAAATTGCATTGTCATTGGAAAGAGAGGAACATCAAAAAGAAAGGGAGGAGCATCAAAAAGAAAGGGAAGAACATCAAAGAGAAAGGGACGAGTATCAAAGAGAAAGAGAATTACAAGAACGGATGAGATCGCAGTTAAGGCTAGACGATGAAACATTATCGATGAGATTGGAAATTGAAAGACGCATACAAGAGGAAAAGGATGAAGTATATTTAATTAAATTTGATTAAGTTCTTAGAGATGTTACGATAATTCGTTGTTAAAAGATTAAGTTAAATCATTGTTAAACCCTTTGTTTTTTTTTTCTTTTCTTTTCTTTTTGCAATAGGAATTAGCAAGAAAGTTGCAGGAGGAAGAAGAAAGTGCTATGGACGATCATGATTCTCCGATTAACGAACAATTATTATTAGATCAAAAAATTGCAATGGAAGCTCAGGATGCTGAATTAGCACGTATGCTTCAAGAAAAAGAACGTGCTAAGGCAAGAAAAGCGAGAGAAAGAGCTAGGCAAAAGAAATTAGAAAAGCAACAGATGCAACAACTTGAACAACATACTTTAATAGATAGACCACAACGACCGGATAAAATTGATTTAAGAAATTCGTCGAGTAAAAATCGAACGAGACACGATAACAATTATACGCAATATCCGGATCCCGAAGAGATACAAACGCTTGATAATCATGTTGAAGAAATACAAGAAGTACCGAATGTAGCTGCCATTATTGATCCAACTTATAATATAAATGAACATCGAAATACGTCAAGCAGTTCGAGTAATACGGTTAGTCCAACGTTTGTATTACCTACACCACCGCAAGAATTAATGGTAGACGATGCACCATGTTATATGCCGATACAAGGACAACGACGAAATCAAAATCAATCTCCTTCACAAGCACACGAAGAAAAGCACAAGAGGCGAGTTAAAGATGGATGTAAGCATCAATGAAACAAAAATAACGTGCCTATCGTATTTAATTAATGCATAAGTATAATATACTCGTCTTTTTTAGTATTAAACATTTATCAGAAGTATAAAAGTATCTCGTAAGAATAATACTTTCACTATTTCTTGGTAAATTTATCGCGTGATAAAATGATACACATAATTAAGTACGTGATCAACGAATTTTTTATACAAATTTTTCTCGCAATAATTCCACATTAATCCGTAGTTGCCTCAATTCCATTGAAAGTAGAATAATATATACGTTTATAAAGAGGTAAATGAAATTTTTCTATAATTGTAGTGAAATCGATATCACTACTTTTTTCTCTAGCTTTAAGATTCGTCTTTGAAAATTGTATTGTTATGAAAATTTAGATGCTATTATTATGCCAACAATAGTACACATTTTAGTGTGTTTCATCAAATATGAAACCGTACGTGCCTTTTTGGAAAGGTACGATTTGTAAAATCATCAATCTTTTTATCTGGTACCAAATCGAGATAATTCGAAGAAATAATTGAAGAAAGTTAAAATATTACAAGAAATCGTACCATTTTCTAATCACTTATCTGCCTTTTCTATTATATATATATATATATAAAAATCTTTAATAATCTTAAGAAAAAATTCTCATTCTAAAATGATCAGTTTAAAAATCATTTATTCTCGATATTTCTGAACTTGTAGGAAATATAAGAAGGAGATTAGATATAGGTAATTATAACTAATGTCATATGAAGTTTATTTATTAGTAAGTCATTAAAAAGATTAGATTGATAATCAGAGCACAGTTAATGAAAATTAAATATTTCATGTATCATTTCACCTTTATATGGAGGAAAGATGAAAATCTCAAAAAGGAACGTTTTTGATTATAAAGAAAGAAATAACATTTTTTTTTTTTGTTAAATATTCAAATATAAATGCAGTGTTTCAAGCTCTCTGTTCAAATGATCTTTGTATTGATTCGCTATATCGCGCCTTAGTAATCATGAAAATAATTATTTTCTTTTTTTGTCTTTTTTTGTTTTTTTTTTGTTTGTTTTTTTTTTTCTTTCCATTTATGAAGACATGTAGTAAACGATAATGACACTGCCAAAGATGACACCATTAATGTTGGCTTTCAACCTGATGATAATAATGATTTAGATTTACTAAAATAGTATGATGCTCATTAGAGATATTTTAAACCTTGCATATAATAAAGGTTTAACAATGAAGACATATAGGTACAAAATATGATGTACAATGTATACAAACTTTTTAGAAGGAAATTTTGAACATCATACATATTTGTAAACATCAATATTAATATAATCGTTCTTTAAAAAAAATTTTTATTATAGATTTTTCTTAGGGCCTAAAAAGATTTTTTTTCTCTATATCGTTATATTATAATATTAAATTACAATTAAAATATATAGGACGTAAGTTCTTTTTTTTTTTTTTTTTTTAACATTTGTATTATTGACGGTGATTGGAAAAAATTTTCTTTTTTTCTGTAATACCATGTATTATTATAATAATTTTTTATTTGTATTTTTATTATGTTAATACACCTATACACACGAGTATATTAATAAATTATTTACAAAATTATTTTACAAGAGTTTGTGAAAACTGTACGAAGTTGAAGAGAAGCGTCTCGTATGGCTTAATAAATCTATATTATAAAACTAAATATGTAGTATATAGATATTATCATAAAAAAAAAAGAAAAAAAAAAAAAAAAAAAAAAAAGAAAAAAAGAAGATGGCAAATTTTATTAGCTATATTCATCAAATATTATATAAAAGAATCTTATAAACGGTGATATATATATATAGATGTATATACACACATATATATATATATATATAGATAGATAGATAGATACATACACACACATATATATATGTATATATATATACATATATATATATATATACATATATATATATATATATATACATATATATATATATATATATATATATATATATATGCAAATCTATCATAATTCTGTGTGTGTGTGTGTGAAACAAAATTCAAAATATTTAGTCTATCTGCTATAGAGGTATCTTAATATAGTACTTAATATTTAATATTATCTCGTTTTACATCTTTACAGATACTTTATAAAAGGACAGTTCATTTCTTTTTTTACAAACTATATTGTTAAATAAAATAAAAAAAAAAAAATATAAAAAAAAGTTAGAGAAATATGCTAATAAATAGCTCGCAATAATAATGCAAACTTTTAGCATAAGGCAAACTCATTTGCCCTAAACTTAAAACAATAGAACATTGTCGTATTCGAAAATAACAATATGTATTTCTTCCAAATGGTCCCTCTCTATAGTAATATAGTACTACCATTTGTATTTCTTAAAGTAATATATAATTTCAATGATTTTTTTTATATACAATTTCATTCATTATTCTGTTTAAAATTATTATATAATGTGATATCAATATTTTGAATTACTCTGCTTGAATATGTGTTTGTGTATGTGCGTGTGCTTATGTATGTATATATATATATATATATATATATATATGTATATATGTATGTATATATGTATATGCATATGTACGTATAAATAATATACACATATATGTATATAAAAGAACAGTTTTTATTTTCATGATCTGAGGAAACAGATGTTCCATTGAATGAAACGTAGATGATGATCGGATAAAAAAAAAAAAGTGACTATTAAATAAAAATTATTAATAAATTAAAGTTTCTTATTTTTTATACAATTGAAAAAGCGCAAAATAGCCAGTTACATGTATTCTCAGCATCATGAACTCAAAGCTCAGCAGTCTCAAAAAAATTTCCGAAATATCGTATCAATTTTATTTTTATTTTTATTTTTTTTTTTATTTTTTTTTTTTTATTATTATTTCATTTTCTTTAACAACTACGTATTTACTTATCTCTAATCATCGATCAAGTTAAGATTTTAATTGATTTTTTTTTTCTTTCTTTTTTTTATTTTTTTATTTTTTCTTTACAGCAGAATAAGCAACCCGATCAGCATGCTTCGGTCAAACGATATATTTGAAGCAATTTGCTATAAGAAAAGTTTTATACAAGAACAATAATATTGATCCTGACCAGCAGATTAACATTTTCATTCACAAAGCAAGTTAGAACAATATTTATTTATTTATTTTTTTTTTGTTTTTCTAAAAGATCGAGATCAGAGAAATATATGTAGAGAGAATTATTGTACACAGTTAATTATACAAAATTAATGTGAAGGAGATTTTATAACTGGAAGCGTTTTTTTCTTTTTTTTTTCCTTAAGGATTATAATAAATATACAAAATCACATCACATGTGAATTATACTACATATGTATATATATATATACATATATATGTATGTATGTATATATATATATATATATATATATATGTATATATATTTTTTTTTAAACAGAACAATGAATGGGATTGTAGTTAAAAAGATCAATGGAATTATATTACTGTTAGATCCAGCGTTTTATTTATTTGTGAGAATAAAAACTGTTCTTTTTCTTATTATCAACAATTCATTTTTGTTTCTCAATTATTTTTTCTTTGTTTTTTCCTTCCTTTAAGTTTTCCTGTTATTATTATTATTATTTTTTTTTTCTTTTTTTTTTTATTTTTCTTTTTTATGTTTTATTTTCACTGCAGGACGATGTTCTTTTTCTTTTTGAAGATTGTACCCTGGTATTTTTTGTAACTCTTAAATTCATTTGACTTTCTGTTTCTGTTGATTCTTCTATAATGGCATCTTCCATGATATTTCTTTTGCGAATATCACGAGTTCTCTTTTTTAAATCTAACGACGAGGAATCAACGCTCGTAGCTCTTCTCGTTCTAATATTCGACAAAGGTTCCTTCGCTTCGCTCAAATTGTGTAACGAATTTAAACTAATTTCCAATTCTTCTGGTATAGATTGAATCGACGAACGTCGACTACGTGTATTAGCTGCCGGACTATCTGTAATTTCTTCAACAATTTTAGATGATATTGAATTTCTTCTCTTTTTCGATTGTGACAAAGGAGTTGATGATACTTCTGAAATATCAGATATTGTATTACTTGATTTTCCTCCTTTCTGAATAATTTTTAATGTTGATTCTTTAGGAACCGAGTTACCACGTCTTCGCGTTGGTCGAACAACATCTGTTATTTCTTCCTCTTTTTTTCTATCAGATTCTGTTATCAACGACGTAGATGAACTTCTAGTTAATCTACCTTTCACAGGTTTTTTTTCTTCCTCCTCCTCTTCCCTCGTTACCTTACTTGTTGTTGTTGTTGTTGTTTTTCTTCCTGTTGATTTTCCTTTACTTTGATATAAATCTTCATTAGTTTCATCGGCTATATTAGAAATCGATGATGATCTTGTTTTCCTTAATGTTGCTGTTGGAACATACGTTATTTCTTTTTGAACGGAAGCAGCACGACGTGTAATTCTCCTAGTCAATTCTTTATCCTTAACATTTTCGGATTCTTTGTTATCCGTGGTAGTTGAGAAAATATCTTTAGCGAGAGATGAACTTCGAGTTCTTCGAATCGTAGATTTAGTCATCGTCGTATTTTTTGAATCGTCGAATAATTCCTGACTTGTATCCTCGCTTATACTTTTTACAGGGGTAATTTGTTTCTTTACTTTGGATGAATTGATTCTTTTAGTAGATCTTGTCATTATTCTCTCACTTGTTGTCATCCTTGAAGAAATATTTTCTTCATACGTGACAGCACCTTTGTATTCTGTATTAATTTTATTCAACATAATTTTACAAGTATTGGTAATCTGTATTTTATTCTCTGATAAATCTCGAGATAATTCATTAGTTATCGAATCATTGCTAGAATCATCGACATTTTTTAATTCATTAATTTCTCGTATCTGTTGTTTCGAATTTCTCTTATCTATTCTTACAGTGACATTGTCACTGGTTACATTTTTATCATTGTATACTATGACATCGTTACTATTATTTGATCCATCCTCAGTGATGTTTGACACATCCGAGAAATGTAATATAGGCTGAGACATAATATTAGTATGATGATCCGTTTCTGAATCTATATCAATTTTTTTATCATCTTCCGACTTTGACGATTCGTATATCAATGTTATTTTGTTACAATCACTCGATGATTCGTCATCGGTGATATCAAAATCATTAATCAATCTTGATGACCTTTGAAGACCATTTCTAGATTTATTATTATTTTCAATGTATTCTTTTGTAAATTTCGAATCAGCGGTATTGAGTTCTTGTTCGAATGAATTAAATAAACTTCTAAATTCGTGTTCACTTTTATCATTAGATTTATCCTCGTTAAATTCTTCCAAATTATTATCCTTATCTGGTATAGTATCATTGTCATTAGACATTTTTGTTCGTTCGTTTCTTTTAAATGACGCGATAGGCTTCTCTTTTGCACGTAGAAGCGTTAATTCTTCTTTATTATCATCTAAGAGTTTAACAATTTTGCTTTTAACCAATGGAGTAGACGAAACGGTATCTTTATAATTACATGATAAAACAGACGAAGTTGATTGATCTAATAGATCTTCAGTTTCTTCAGTTTTCTTGAAGGATGTATTTATATCAAAACTGCTACTAGGAGAAAGAATCATAGTAGAATACATAGTGGCGGATAATGAATTATGTAATCTAGACGAGGATGGTGTTCGTTTATTTGTCTCTATTGCATAATTATCTTTAGAAGTATTTAATATGTTTGAAGAAGTAGAAGATAAATTAGTAATAGTAGTTGTATTTGTAATATTCCTTCCAGGTAAATAACTTCTTCTAAGACTCGGTCTTGGACGTGGATAACAATTGCTTTTGTCGCTAAGACTATCGTCCGATAAAATTTTAGTAGTTTCATTATGCGACTTAATGCTAGTATTTGGACTTAGAAATACGTCGGTATCGTCCTCCG